CTCAGCAAAAGTGGCATAGGAGGGCTATAACGTAATACAAATCATCTACAACCAGCCCACTGCCAACATTATACTGAAAAGGGAAAAGTTGAAAGCATTCCCCTTGATAACTGAAACAAGACAAGGATGCCCATTTTCACCGCTTCTATTTAACACAGTGCTGGAAGTCCTGACCAGAGCAATTAGACAAGAGAAAGAAATCAAAGGCATCAAAATTGGTAAAGATGAAATCAAACTGTCACTGTTTGCTGATGATATGATTTGTATACCTAGAGAACCCTGAAGACTCATCCAAAAAGCTCCTAGAACTGATAAATGAATTCGTCACAGTTTCGGGATACAAAATTAATGTACACAAATCAGTAGCTCTGCAATACACCAAGAGTGACCATGCTGAGAATCAAATCAAGAACTCAACCTCTTGCATTAGCTTTAGTGCCAAAATATTAATACCTAACCAAGGATTTGAAAGACCTCTTCAAGGAAAACTACAAAACACTGCTGAAAGAAATCATAGGTGGCACAAACAATGGAAATACATCCCAAGTTCATGGATGGTTAGAATCAATATTGTGAAAATGACCATACTGCCAAAAACAGTCTACAAATTCAATGCAGTTCCCATCAAAATACCACCATCATTCTTCACAGAACTAGATAAAGCAATCCTAAAATTCATATGGAACTGGCCGGGCACGGTGGCTCAAGCCTGTAATTCCAGCACCTTGGGAGGCTGAGGTAGGTGGATCACTTGAGGCCAGGAGTTCAAGACCAGCCTGGCCAACATGGTGAAACCCCATCTCTACTAAAAACACAAAAATTAGCTGGATATGGTGGCATGCACCTGTAGTCCCAGCTACTCAGGAGGCTGAGGCAGATGAATCACTTGAACCTGGGAGGCAGAGGTTGCAGTGAGCCAAGATCATGCCATTGCACTCTAGCCTGGGCAACAGAGCAAGACTCCGTCTCAAAAAAAAAAAAAAAAAAAACACAAAAAAGAAAGAAATTTCCTCCCCCAGTCTCATGTTTCTCTACTGCTTCCGTCTCCATCCCCCACCAGCTATGCCTTAAAGGCAAGCAAAACTTTGCTCTAGCTTCACATAAAAATCACAGCAATATTAGTAGGAGCCAAAATGTCCTGAGCGCCTCCCCATGCCTGATGTGGGCACCTGGGCACTGTGGTCAGGAATATCTTGTTTCATTTCGCAGCTTTATTTGGGTATCATTCATGTACCACACAGTTCACCCATTTAGAGTGTGTGTTCAATGGCGTTTTGTACATTTACACAGTTAAGCAACCATCACACGATCAATTCTAGAACATTTCCATCACCTCCAAAAGAAATGCATACCTGTTAGCAGTCACTCCCACTCTCCTCTCCCCTAGGCCCAGGCAATTACCACCCGCCCAGGGCCAAGTCTCTGTGGATTGGCCTATTCTGGGCATGTCATATAAATGGAATCACACAATATGTGGACTTTTGCATCTGGCTGCTTTGGCTTAGCACAGTGTTTTCAAGGCTCATCCACAGTGTAGTGTCGGAATGTCACTCCTTTTTATTGCCAGATAACATTCCATTGTATGGATATACCACTTTTTTTTTTTTTTTTTTTTTTTTTTTTTTTTTTTTTTTTTTTTTTTTTTTGGAGTAAGAGTCTTGCTCTATGCCAGGCTGGAGTGCATGGCGCGATCTCAGCTCACTGCAACCTCTGACTCCCGGGTTCAAGTGATTCTCCTACCTCAGTCTCCCGAATAGCTGGGATTACAGGCAAGCGGCACCACACGCAGCTAATGTTTGTATTGTTAGTAGAGATGGAGTTTCACCATGTTGGCCAGGAGGGTCTCGATCTTCTGACCTCGTGATCTGTCTGTTTCAGCCTCCCAAGGTGCTGGGATTACGGGCGTGAGCCACCATGCCCAGCCTGATATACCACATTTTATGTAGCCATTCATCATTTGATGGACACTGGGATTGTTTCCACTTTTTGGCTATTAAGGGTAATGCTGCTATAAACATTCAGGCACAAGTTTTTATGTGGTCGGGTGTTTTCAGTCCTCCTGGGCTGATACCTAGGAGTGGAATTGCTCAATCATTTGATAACTCTATGACTAACCTTCGGAGGAGCAGTTGGACTGTTTTCCAAAGGAGCTGCATCCGTTTACATCCCCACCAGCAGCGTATGAGGGTTCCGGTGTCTCCACATCCTCGCCAGTACTTGTTAGTATCTGTCTTTTTGATTTTAGCTGTCCTTGTGTGTATGAAGTGGTAACCCACTGTGGTTTTGATTTGTACTTCCCCGGAAGCATCCCCATGGTACAGAACAGGGAACTGAGTTTCAGAGAGGTGAAGAACCCTGTCTGCAGCCATGGGGCAAGGATGGGCAGAAGCAGGATTCTAACCCAGGCACCTTCTCTTCCCTTATCTGCCTTCCCAGAAAATCCCTCTAATGAGGTTGGAGGAACCCCTCTATGGGAGTAAGATGGCCAGGGATGGGACACAGGCCCTTGGGAGGGTTGGATGAGATGCGCTAGAATATCAGAAATTCCTGTGGGAAGACTGCATAGTGCCTGGTGCATAGAGGGTGCTTGGGGCTGCTGAGTGCTGTTACTCTCTAACATGATATAGACCCTCCCACCCCCTTCTAGAAGGACCTGGGCCTTCCAGAGCCAGCCTTGTACATGGAGATTTCTGGAAGGGGCCATATTCATTGAGCACAGGCTGGCCAGTGGCCTGAGAGGACCATAGTCATAGAGCATCCAGCCCTGGGAGACCCAGATTCTGCTGCAGGTGCAGAGAACTGCCTGCTTCACAGCCTGGTTATTATTCATGTCCGCATCCATCCGCCATCCATCATCCATCCGTCCTCCAGCCCACCCTTCTCTGAACCTCGTTGTCCCCATCTGAAGGCGGAGGATGCAAGGCTGCTTCAGGGCTGCTGTGGCAATCAGCACGGAGCCGGGGCATGAGGCCCAGGGCCAATGTCAATCGTCATTTCAACAATTCCCAGTCCCCGAGGAGTGCCTGTGGTTTCTGCAGTTGCAGAGCAGGGGCCAGAAGGCCACTCTGGCTATGAGGGTTTGACCTGAGAGCCCCAGGTGGACACATCCCCAGGCAGATTCTCAGCAGGACCATGGTGGGCAGGACCCTCAACTGGAATAAGGGAGTCAAGAGCCCAGGGTGTAGTATGGGATAGCAGGGGCCGGGTAGATGGTCCTGACCTGGCAGATACAAGACAAACACACTTTAAGGCTAGGGGAGCTCTGAGTTCAACCACTGTGCGACCTTGGGCAAGCTACTTAACCTCTCTCAGCCTGTTCCGTAACTGGAATAAGGAGTTGTTGATACCTTATAAGCGAAAATGAGATCCTAAAGTAAAGGGCCTAAATCTCTGAACTGATAAATCCACTAGGAGAATCCCAGGCTCGGATGCACCAGGAGATTGGGACCAGGGTGCTCACAGAAGTGTTGGTAAGTCATAGTACCCAGTCAGGAACACACTCCAAGTTCTTGTCAGCAATACAGTGGATAAGTAAGTTGATAGGTGTGAGATAGTCACACAGTGAAATTCTGTGCAGCAATAAAGGTGAACAAATTACAGACACATGCGGCAACACAGATGACGCTCACAAATATAAGACATGAGAAATACAGTATGATTCGACGGATATGTGGGTCAGACAGTGGAGAAAACTCACTCACAGTGTTTACAATGACATACACAGGGAGGGTGGCGGGGGGAGAACAGCAGGAACATAGCTAATGCATGCCAAGCTTAATACCTGGGTGATGGATTGGTGCAGCAAGCCACCATGGCATGGGTTCACCTGTGTAACAACCCCACATATCCTGTACATGCACCCCAGAACTTTGCATCCCAAAATAAAAGATAAATAGGGGCCAGGCGCGGTGGCTCACACCAGTAATCCCAACACTTTGGGAGGCCAAGATGGGCAGATCACAAGGTCCAGAGCTAGAGATAATCCTGGCCAACATGGTGAAACCCTGTCTCTACAAAAAAAATTAGCTAGGCATGGTGGCACCCACCTGTAGTCCCAGCTACTTGGGAGGCCAAGGCAGGAGAATCATGTCAACCCGGGAGGTGGAGGTTGCAGTGAGCCGAAATCACACCACTGCACTCCAGCCAGGAGACAGAGTGAGACTTGATCTCAAAAATAAATACATAAATACATAAATAAAATGACACAAACATAGGTAGTAAGACTACAGAAAGAACGTTAACTGCTGGGCACAGTGGGATTAACTGCTGGGCACAGTGGCTTACACCTGTAATCCCAGCACTTTGGGAGGCCAAGGTGGGAAGATCATTTGAGGTCAGGAGTTCGAGACCAGACTGACCAACATGGCAAAACCCAGGCTCTACTAAAAATACAAAAAAATTAGCCAGGTGTAGTGGTGCATGCTACTTAGGAGGCTGAGGCAGAGAAACATTTGAACCCGGGAGGCAGAGGTTGCAATGAACCAAGATCACACCACTGCACTCTCGCTTGGGCTACAGAGCGAGACTCCATCTCAAAAAAAAAAAAAAAAAAAAGAATGGGATTACCTTAAACCTCAGGACAGTGGCTGCCTCTAAGAGGGAGGAGAAGAGATAGATAGATGGAGATGACGCACGGGATTGGAGAGGTCCTCTTTATGTTTGGTAGGTCGTGGCTACACAAATAGTCGCTTTATGTTATATACAAAACTGTGTAAACATGTTTTATGCACTGTTCTCTGTGTGTGATTATCTCAGAAGCAAAGAATAATTTGAGTGCCTGGTAACAGGATTGGAGCTGAGCAAAAGCTGACTGTCTCCCTCGCTCTCCCTCTGCCCCCACCAGTCCTGCGCCCTGCACGTCGAAGCCAGGCCCTGCTTGGGTGCAAAGCAGGAGGAAGATGCTGAGTGAGGCGTGGGTGTGAGCTAGCCACCTGCTCTCCCACCTCCACCCAGTGCACTGCCCCCAGGCACAAATGCCCCAGAAAGACACTGCCCAGAGGTTTTTTTAAAACCGCTTTATTCGGGTTGGCTGGTAGTTACGGACTGGATCATGTATACAGGGCAACCCACCCCTAGGCAAAACCCTCGGCCTCTCCCACCTCCCCCGCATCATCACTGAGCAGCAGCCCGAGGTGTGAGCCAATTCTGAGGAAAACTGGGTCCGATAGAAATATGTACAAATAACCGGGGGCAGGTGTGCCCCTGATCGGGAATCGTGAGGGAACTGGGTACCAAGGGGCCCTTGGCTCCCAACTGCCCCAGGCTCTGGGGTGGGCTTGGCACAGGACCCAAGAGGTGGCTAGGGCACTGGGAGCTGGCAGAGGGGGGCTCCGGGGAGAGCCTTGAAGACCCTCAAAGGGGTCCTGCTGGTGCAAAACTCTGCCTGGGGCCGTGGGTCTGAGGGGAAGGCCCCTCCCTTCTGACCCACTATGTGACGAGGAAGCGAGTGCTGGATCCCCTCTATCCCTGGAGGGTCACACAGGGCGCTGAACAGGAAGGACCTGCCAGGAGGGGGTGGGGCATCTTGCTGTCCTCCCAGGGCTCCGTGAGTGACCCTGCAGAGCCACCGTCCCAAAAAGGCCCTCCTGGCAACTCTGTCCCCTGGGTCTTCACCAGGGGACAGGCCCTAGTTCCACTCAGAGGAGTCAAGTCCAAATTCAGGGAGGGGGTCACTGTCCACACCCCCAGGTCTAAGCAAGGGATGGTAGGAGGAGGGAGGTGAGGCGGGGGGACCCCGGCTCGGGACAGGATGGGGGACAAGCAAGCAAAGCAAACACTGGACTCCACAGAAGCTGGTGAGAGGAAGGGGGTGGCCCGGGCCCCAGCATGGTCCCCGCCCCAGTGTTCAGGGCGGCTGGCCCCTTGGTGCCCAGGGCCACCTTGTCTGAGTCAGGTCACTGCAGGGGTCTGAAAGAGCAGGGGTAGGTGAGGCTTACATGCTGAGCAAGGGGTGACAGAAAGAGGGCCGACGTGGTGGCCACAGGCGGCCTCGGGGATGGGGCACGGCTGGACGCAGGCAGTCCGTCCCCGGTGGTCCGGCGGCTCCTCATGCACTCTGTACAGCGTGGGGCGGGCGGGCAGGGACAGGGCCGTCAGTCTAGAGGCTGCAGGCCTCCTGGTCCACCGAGCGCTTCCTCAGCTCCTTGCCCGGCTTGGGGGGCGGCGGGGCAGGTGCAGCGGGAGGGGCTTCGGGCAGGTGCAGGACGGAGTTCTCCCCTGGCTGCACTCGCAGGTAGGCCTTGACCTTGTGGTGTCGGGCCTTACCGTCGCTGAAGTCGATGACGCGGCACTCGTAGGTGCCTTCGTCCGTGGGCTTCACCCGGGACAGGCGCAGCTTGTGGGAGATGTTGCTGCCCACCACCTTGACCACCTGCGGGTGACAGAGAGACAGTGACCCATCCATTGGGTGGCAGAGGGAGAGATGAAGAGTGCGGGGGTCCCAAGATCTCAATCTAGGGCTGGAGCCCCAGAAACATGCCCACAAGGGTTCACCAAGGTTTGCACAAGAGTGAGTTAAATCACAAAAAGTTAAAAGCAACTGACGCGTCCATCAACAGAGCGCATAACTAAGCAGTGGCCGGTTCGCTGCATGAAGCACTGCAGAGCGCCCAAAGGACGGAGCTGCAATGAGGCGCCGGAGCTCAGTGGCAGAGAGCAGGGGGAAGCTCTCACCGCTGCCTGCCCCCAGCGGATGCCATTTATGTAAATAAACTCGCAAACCTACTCTGTAATGGTTTGGGGGTCTTCCAGGTGTGGAAGTTTACAATAGACGGGAGGGAACACCGGGGCCTCCTCAGAGCAGTGGTGGACTCTGGGGCAGAACACAGGGGAGGAAGTAGACCTGGGGTAGACTGCAAAGCCAAGCCTTCATTTAGTCTGAAAGTTTACATTTCCTAAAAAAAATGATAGAGGGGCCTGCAGTCCCAGCTACTCAGGAGGCTGAGTTTCGAGGACTGCTTGAGCCCAGGAGTTTGAGGCTTGCAGTGAGCTGTGATCGCACGAATGCACTCCAGCCTAGGTGATAGAGTGAGACCAGTCTTTTAAAAACGAAACCAGGCCGGGCGCGGTGGCTCAAGCCTGTAATCCCAGCACTTTGGGAGGCCGAGGTGGGTGGATCACGAGGTCAAGAGATCAAGACCATCCTGGTCAACATGGTGAAACCCCGTCTCTACTAAAAAAAATACAAAAAATTAGCTGGGCATGGTGGTGCATGCCTGTAATCCCAGCTACTCAGGAGGCTGAGGCAGGAGAATTGCCTGAACCCAGGAGGACGAGGTTGCGGTGAGCCGAGATCGCGCCATTGCACTCCAGCCTGGGTAACAAGAGCGAAACTCCGTCTCAAAAAAAAAAAAAAAGAAAAACGAAACCAATCCCAGTACTTTGGGAGGCCAAGGCGGGTGGATCACGAGGTCAAGAGATCAAGACCATCCTGGTCAACATGGTGAAACCTCGTCTTTACTAAAAATACAAAAAAATTAGCTGGGCATGGTGGCACACGCCTGTAGTCCCAGCTACTCAGGAGGCTGAGGCAGGAGAATTGCTTGAACCCAGGAGGTGGAGGTTGCGGTGAGCCGGGATCATGCCATTGCACTCCAGCCTGGGTAACAAGAGCGAAACTCCAAAACTCTATCTCAAAAAAACAAACAAACAAACAAAAAAAAACAGGCCAGGTGCAGTGGCTCACACCTGGAATCCCAGCACTTTGGGAGGCTGAGGAGGGCAGGCAGATTACTTGAGGTCAGAAGTTTGAGACCGGCCTGGGCAACATGGGGAAACTCCATCTCTACTAAAAATACAAAAACTAGCCAGGAGTGTGCATGGTGGTGCATGCCTGTAATCCCAGCTACTTGTGAGGCTGAGGTGCAAAAATGACTTGAACAACCCAGGAGGCGGAGGTTGTAGTGAGCCGAGATCACAGCACTGTATTCCAGCCTGGGCGACAGAGTGAGACTCCATCTCAAAAAATAAATAAATAGGCCGGGCGCGGTGGCTCAAGCCTGTAATCCCGGCACTTTGGGAGGCCAAGGTGGGTGGATCACGAGGTCAAGAGATCGAGACCAACCTGCTCAACATGGTGAAACCCCGTCTCTACTAAAAATACAAAAAATTAGCTGGGCATGGTGGCGTGTGTCTGTAATCCCAGCTACTCAGGAGGCTGAGGCAGGAGAATTGCCTGAACCCAGGAGGCGGAGGTTGCGGTGAGCCAAGATTGGCACTCCAGCCTGGGTAACAAAAGCGAAACTCCGTCTCCAAAAAAAAAAAAAGAAAAATTAATTAATTAATTAATTAAATAAAATAACACAATAAAAAACAAAACAGTGTAAAGGCTGATTACAAATCAGGATGTTAATAACTATTCACTCCACTTGCGGGGAGCAACGGTGTTTGTTATATTTTCTAAAAAAAAAAAAAAAAAAAAGGTGTTGGGCCTATGAAGGGGGTGGTGGTGGGAGGGGGCTTCTTTCCTTCCCTGGCCCCTTCTTCTTAAAGCCAAAAAAAAAAAAGGCCCCCTAGCCTGTGGCTCCTGCCCTGCCTGTACACAACAGTGGAGATCAGTTCCCAGCTGCCAGCCGCTGACCCCCCTCCCAGACAGTTTCATGGGCTCAGGTGAGCAGGCCTCAGACCTGTGGCCTACCGGTCCCTCTATTCTGGAGAGACCACCAGCTGGCCTGTTCCTGCCAAGCCCCAGCCCCTAGAGAGGAAAGCCCAGCTTCTGGCTCCAGGTGGGATGCCCCTGCTGGCCACCCCTGCAGTGAGGTGCCAGGATGAAAAGGCACAGCCTCTGCATGCAGCCTGCAGATGTTTCTGAGCCTGTGCAGGGCGCTCACATGTGTGACTTCTAATCATCGCACCAATCTGCCCTGGCCTCCCTAGGAGGCCTCTTTCATCAACTCCCAAATGGGAAACTCTTGCTGACCTCATGGCCTTTGCACGTGCTGGGCCCTCTGCCTGGGTGGGGTTCCCTGCTCATCTTCACCTGCTTGGTTCCCATTATCCTAAATGTCACCTCTCCAAGAAACTGACCCCGTGTCACCACTCCCTCCTGTTTCTTGCATAGCAGTCTTCTCATTTTGAATCGTGTGTTTGTTGAGTTGATTTGGGGTTCTCTCCCTGGCTAAACTGTACCCTCCATGAGAGCAGGGACAATATTTATTTTGTCCATGTGAGTCGTTATCACAGAGCCCAGCACTCCATAAATAATCATCAACATGTGTTGAATGAATGGACCCACCCATGACCTTCTTTCTCCAAGTGAAGTGGTACTCAGATGTCATGCTTTCTAATTTTAAGTCACATGCTTATGATGATAGGGTTTGGCTCCTGTCCCCACCCAACTCTCACCTTGACATGTGAGGGCGGGACCTGGTGGGAGGTGATTGGATTATGGGGGAAGTTTTCTCCATGCTGTTCTTGTGATAGTGAGTAGTTCTCACGAGATCTGATGGCTTAAAAGTAGCAGTTTCCCCTTCATTCCCTCTTCTGCTACCACGTAAGACACACCTTGCTTCCCTTTAGCTTTACACCATCATTTTAAGTTTTCTGAGGCCTCTCCAGCCATGAGGCCTCCCCAGCCATGCAGAACAATGAGTTAATTAAACCTCTTTTCTTTATGAATTACCCAGTGTCTGGTGGTAGTTCTTTTTTTTTTTCTTTTTTCTTTTTTGAGACAGAGTCTTGCTCTGTTGCCCAGGCTGGAGTGTAGTCGTTCAATCTCAGCTCACTGCAACGTCCACCTCCCAGGCTCAAGCAATTCTCTGCCTCAGCCTCCCGAGTAGCTGAGATTACAGGCGTCCACCACCATGCTTGGCTAATTTTTTTGTAATTTTAGTAGAGACGGAGTTTCACCATCTTGGCCAGGTTGATCTTGAACTCCTGACCTCATGATCCACCTGCCTCAGCCTCCCAAAGTGCTGGGATTACAGGTGTGAGCTACTGTGCCCAGCCTCTGGTAGTTTTTTATAGCAGGGTGAATATACATAACAATGCCCACTTTGCAGATGATAAAACTGAGGCTCTAAAAGAAGCCACTGGCCCAGAGGCACGGACTCAGTGAGTGGCGGAAATGGGAGCAGGCTCCATGCACTCTCACCCTCCCAGTGGTATGACAGGTTCACCAAGGGCCACCAGTGCTGGCAGGGCCAGCGAAGAGGAGCATGTCCAGAGCGGAGACTGGCCATCCTCCCTCATGCTGAGCCTTCCCGGCTGCCCATCGTCCCCTATATGGGGGAAAGCCTTCAGCAGAGGCATGGAGGTGGGACCCAGGCAGGACTTCCCCACAGCAAGCAGTGGGAAACCCTCCCAGCTGCCCCTCTGGCTATGGGGGCGCCCCCTCCCTAGTGCCAGGCTCTGCTGGAGCCCACCCTATCCCTCTGACTCCATCACCTCTGTCCAAGGGCACAAAGAGGCTCTGCGATCCTGCGTGCTCTCTCCAGTGAGTTAGGAGATGCTGTTGCCAATGCGCAGCGGGAGCGAATTACCTCAACATCTGCTTCCCTCACGGATATTAATTATCCTTCATTTGTCAACCCTACAAGGCGTTAATGGAGTAATAATGCAAAGCGCTGGGAGCACTCACTCCTAGGGAGGGAGCACCGAGCGAGGCCCAGCCCTCGGCCCAGTCCTCGGCCCACCTGCTCCCATCCCCCAGACAGGGCCATGAAGGCCTGGATGGCTCCCCAGGCAGCCAGCTTCCTCCTCCCTGTCACCCCTTTCTGCCAACAGACAGATGTGGCCTTCAGAAGCATGAGCTCTTCCTCTCTGAGAGAGGAGGAGGGCAGGGAGCACTACACGGAGTAGTGGGAGGCCAGGCGCTGACCCTGACAAGTCGCCAGCACCCTGGCCTCTCGGTTTTCTTGGGCTAGATTCGCCCATTCATTCAACAAGCATTTAGCGAGTGCCTACTCTGAGCTTGGCGCTGGGGACACCACGGTGAGCCAGCCAGATCCCGGTAATGCTGGCACGAGCTGACAGTCTAATGGAGAACCCAAGCACCTCAGCGAGTGAACTTCCAACAGGACGAAAGGCGAGGACACACGTCAGACATGACTCCCTCCCAGTCCCTGTCGTCCACGCCTCTAAGCACAGTCTGGAGAAGGCAAATATGGTATTTTCAACAAAAATAATAACAGCAACAGTTGTGCCGGTGGCTAGTGTCTGAGCGCTGTGAGATGATATGATAAGTTTCATCAATCTTTCTTTTTTTTTTTTTGAGACAGAGTCTCACACCGTCACCTTAGGCTGGAGTGCAGTGGCGTGATCACGACTCATTGCAACCCCAACCTCCTGGGCTCAGGCAATCCTCCCGCTTCAGCATCCCCTCCCACCCACTGAGTAACTGGGGCCACAAGTACGCACCACCACTCCTGGCTA